GGTGTTTCGCTCCGCTCTCCCGGGATGTGGCAATAATTCCTGAGATGCTGGCCCCGACCTGGCGGGTAGAAACTGCCCTTCCTTCTGCAGCCTGTCAGCTGTGGGGTCGCGTGGTGGACTACTGTCAGGGACTTACTCTTTTTAACTAGCTTTTAATTTATGCTTTAGGTTACTTTTTTAGAGATTGATCAATGCCGTGTGAACATAGGAACAGGTATCTTCCATTAAACTTTTCAAAAGTGTTATTTAGTGTTGCGATCATTTTAACCCCTGAAAGGCATGAGTTATTTGCCTTTTGCCTCCTTCTCTTGTATTTCTCATAATACTTTTCTTTTAGGATCATGTACCATGGGTGAACCTGTATCTAAATCTGCGTTTGCAGCCTTCGCTTTTTATGTCGGTGATAAATCTTGCTGTGAATTGGTAAGTAGGTGTGAAACTAGATGAAAAGCTTGTAAGATGTTCCCCGGGGGTTTATATCCAGATCTGATCTGCCAAGTATTTGCTAGCACTGATTAATTCAAACTGATGCAAAGATATCTTATACCACTCTATGTTACTTATTTACAAAAGTACTAAATTGGGGCACGTCACAGAGATTCTGTATCCTCCATCAGGCGAGCTTTACTGAATGCATATACAGCTGTGTAAACTAGACAATGATGAATAGGTCCTATTAACAGAACTTGACCAACCTGTTGGTCATGTGTCCAGGACATGTTTGGGACGATACACCTCAGAGTGGCAGATTCAGTTCCTTTAATTGCAAAGCAATCACAGCTTAGTTCATGGAACTTCAAGTCTGTGAATTAACTACAGTGTTCTTTGTTCTTGTAATCTCTCACTTCTTTTTCTAGTTCTTTGTGCGCAGTAAGGCCTCTGATTATTTAGCTGTTGCTTTTGTTGAATAATCATAGAATCACAGAATGGTTTGGGTTGGAAGGGACCTTAAAGACCATCTAGATCCAACCCCCCTGCCATGGGCAGGGACACCTTCCACTAGACCAGGTTGCTCAAAGCCTCATCCAGCCTGGCCTTGAACACTTCCAGGGATGGGGCACCCACAGCTTCTCTGGGCAACCTGTTCCAGTGCCTCACGAAGCTCTTCAGGAAGAATTAACTGTAGAACTCTTATGTTTTAATACTTCCAAGAATGCTTTCCTTGACTCTTTATTTTCCCTTTCTTGCTATACCTAAGGAGCTTTAGAAAGCACTGTGGTAGTTAATCTTTCTGCCGCTTGTAGAATTCAGCTGTGAGTTATTTATCGTAAGTATTGCTGCTGCCAAATACAGACTAGCTGCCCTACTAGTTGTTATCCTATGCAGAAATAAAAAGTACAGGCAAATTTAATTTCTTACCTGTGTAGCTGTGTCTTTACAAGGGACCATTACCACTAGAGTAGTGAGTCTCATTGGAAGTTGTTTGTATCAATAACGATTATTTTTGGGGGGCTATGGGCTAAATAAAGTTCTTTACCAGTTGTGTTTGCAAAAGGTACTAGACATTTTATTCCTTAAAGTGATGTGTCTGCTGTGCTATGGAAAGAAAGCCCTTGATTCTGTTGAAGTGCTTACTCCTGGTTTCCAGGCTTGCTTTAGTGGGCATACTGCCTTGGGTTTGATGTATAGAGGGGGAGTGTGTGGCTTGTTTTGTCTTTAAATATTGTAGCAAAATCCACGCTGAAGGAGACATTCAGTCATCTTTCAAGATAAACTGATTTTGAAATAATAGTTAATTTTTTTCCTCTTCGTTATCGGGTGTCCTGGTCTGTTAAATATGTCAGTCTCATAATACCTTGTTCTTGAGAGTAAGCCTTGGCTTACATGTAATGTTGTAAGAGTTCAGAAATGCTACTTTGGGTGAAATCACATGATTGCCTGTCATCACTTTAGGTCAAATTAGTAAGTCATTGCACAGCATGCTAGTATTTCCAGAAAGTCTGCCACTGAAAGAATGAAGGTCTGATAAGGAAACTATGAAAGATGTGTTTGGTGGTTAGTTTGGTTTTATACTTTTCTCCAGTCATGTTCAGAAGTAGCTTTGCCTTTCTTTGAAATAATAATGTGCAAGATGTAGACATGATACGTAGTACTTATTGAATGACACGTCTTGTTTGTTAAAATAATAGACTTCCTAGGGATCTGTAAAACAGAACGAAGTCACTTATTCTTCAGCTTGAGAGGCTTGTAGAGAGTACTATGTTTTAAACCTGTTGAAGTAGTATTATGTTGCCATGAAGTAGTAATTCAACTACTCACTCCACTTATTTCAATATTTATGTATTTATTTAAATATACATGCACTAACTGTCAAAACTTAATTATTATTTCTTGAAAACTTGCATTATCATCTTAAACATGTTCCCTTAGGTATTCTTGAACATTATATTGCTGTCTAGTACCTGATTGAGAATTATTAATTTTTAGACTACTAGTCTAGTGTGATTCAACACATTACTTAGATGATTTAAAGTTTTCCCATCCAGTCATAACTATTAATCTATGGACGTTGTTTTAAATGGATATGCAGGTAAATATTTTTATTTATAAGGTAGCAACTAAGTCATTATGTTAGATAACTCTAGTAAACATGCATTTTTTCCCCCCCTATTTGTTTTTGTTTGGTTTGTTTGCCTTTTTGGCTGTGCTTAATGTGAATTACAAAGATTGGATTCAAAGGGGTTTATTGTTTGGTAATGTGAAATATTGCAGAATTTACGTTCCCTTGTTTTCCTCAGAAAACTGTTGGCAGAACTGCAGAAACACGTGGGAGAATGGGGAATACCAGTAGTATTTTATTCCTGGGGAAATGGGATGGGGGGGTGTGAAAAGCATGGGAAATTCACCCACATCATATTGGTCTTAGAAGATAATGGGGTGCTGGTGAGCACTGAATGAGCAGTATTGACATTTTTTTAAAAGCTGTTGTTCACAATGAGTAGAGACGTAGAACTACTACTTTTTGTCTAGGTCCGTGGTGTGTGCATGAGTATTTTAGTTAATTATTAAATAATCATAGTTGGTAATAGTTAACTAAATAATTTAATTAGTTATTAATTAATTTTCTTAATGTCTCTGCGTTAGTATTTTAGTTTGGGTCAGGAGAACACTTTTGAAGCAAATATTCCAATTGTCCTTGTCTTTCCTGTTTTGGCTTATCTTGTGAAGAGGTCTTGGAGTGTGCTAGTGGGATTTACTTGGAATGAAACTGACCTAGAAGGTACTATTAAGAGTATGGGAAATGTGCATTGCCCACGAATGGATGCTCTGTCTCTGGGCCTAGATTTGGACCAGTGCAGACTACAACCCATTGAAGAGCATATAATGTGAAAGTAGGCTGCTCAGTACGAAATAATTTGCTTTATAGACGTTTCCTATTTGATCATGCTGCTTGGTTGTGAAGATATAACCACAGCTCTCTTTTTTTACTGGTCTAAATACGTTCAGTAATTACCTTTTCTTGAGGAAAAGAATTGGTGACAAAAAGTAAAAGTTACTTCTACTCTTCCCTTCCCCTGATCGAAACATTTTATATTGGTTTAATATTTAGAAACAGTTAGGCAGTCATTGCTTATAGTATGTGCTTATTTACAGTATGTGCAATGTTAAAAAATATGTTTATCTTTAGGGTCACGGAGTGTTTGTACAGCAGTCGCCACATAAGCGTAAAACAGGTATGTAAACTAAACCAATGTTAGATAACTTTCTGATGCACTTTTTTGCCGTGCTTGGATCTTTTGATTGCCATTTCACTTCTTTTCCTTATTTTGTCCGAATAAGTAGGAAACTCTTACTTCTGGGCAGAAGCAATGGTATATGCTTTTACATGGGTAGAATTCTCATCTTTTTGTCCTAATGGCATGTGCAGAAGACTTACACATTTGTGAGAACAGTGCAAATAGTCAGTAATACGTACATATGTGCAATTAGTGTTACGAGGATGGAAATTTAGGGCTTGTGTTCATTACCTGTGTTTTAATTGTAGCTATGTTTTAGCTGTATACATGTAAAGACGCTTTGAAGTTGATCTTTGTAGGTAAAGTTTTGCAGTTATAATGCTAAAAAAAATTGTAATAGTTGCAGAAAAGCAAGTGGCTCAAGAGTATGTCAAGTTGTTCAAAGCTGTATTCACTTATATAAGTGTTAACCTGTAAGAAACTCAGATGAACACAGCCAGCTGTGTAAAATGAATTTTTGCATTTATTCAGACTCATATAATACTACTTCTGCTCTGAGAGTACTTGAATACTTGATGCCACCTCAATAGTCTAATAGGGATCTTGACCTTGTAAACACAGTCTCTGAGGGGAAATGGTTTTTGGTTTTGTTTTTTTGCAAGAGCCACGCACCACACACACAATGGCCTCTGGAGAAAAAAAGAATAATATTGCTGATCTTTTTGCAGTGTGTTGCTGTGTGCCATGCTGCTCTGGCTTTACTGCAGAAAATATATAAATGGGTATAGTTAGAGGAGGCTCATGTTTTATCTTGAAAACAGCATTCCTTATTGCCATGAAACATCTCACAGCCTTTGTTAGGCTCCTCATTTAGACACAGGCTGCACTTATTCCTTTATAATGAGTTACATCAATGAATTATGTCAGTAAAATTCAGAACACAGGCAATTCCTTGAGCAAGGAATGTAAGGCCTGACAGCAGGTCCCTATTTTTACATCCATCTAAATTCCTTCTCCCCTTCAATTTATTAAAAAAAACTCAAATTGCCAGGTGTATTTAATGTGTTCAAGTTTTCTTGTTTTGGTTAGATATTACCTAGGAATACAGCATGAAAATAATTGATGTTTTTGAATGTTTATTTGGACTTTGATTACTTGTAATGCCTGAATTGTGTACTCTAATTCCTGCTTTCTCGAAGATGTTGATCCCTGTGAAGTGTGGTGCAGTCAGCCGGTTGACGTATTAAGAGAATATTGCAATGTTATTAAAATACGCATCTTTTGGCCTCTTCTCTTCAAAAGTGAAAGTAATTATGTGGTAGCTGATTGGAGGTAAGTAATCATATTCTCAAAATGATTTCATCAGCCTTTACTATTTTTTTTGATAGCTGTGAAAGATCATTGTACACTTCTGGTAGTGCTTAAATTGTCTGTGGGAATGTTTTTACCAGTAGACGAAGATAGTGAAGGTCAGAAGGCATGGTTGTTGAATATATGAATGAAAATAGTAAGATTGGGTGTCTGAAGTTTAAAACCTAAAGGTGTATTGAAGTACTTAAATGGATGCCCTGTATTTCATGAGTACCAAAAGCTTTGCAGCTTCCCTCCCAAGAAGGGCTTGATTTGACTTTGTAACCATGCTCTTGCTTAGATCTAATTACCATAAATATTAGTAAATAAGACCGTGTTATTAAGACCTATTTTTCTAAATAATAACTTGTTCTGTTTTTAAGCAGTTCACAGCTTTTAGACCAGACTTGGAAGAGACTCTGTGAATTAGAAGTTTTGGAAGATCTTGTTGATTTAATAAAAAAAGTTGTTGTAAGTACTACATTTTAACTTTGTCTGAGTTTTCAAGTATAATAGATTACTTAATTCTCTACCTTAAGCATTTTGGGATTATGTCTTAAACTGGACACTTCATTCTACTGGAGTGAATAAATCATTTGAGAGTTGAGTTGCAGCTTTCTAGAAAGAAAGTGTGTCATAGGCTTTATTGCGGTTGGGATAACTTCCTAAGTATTTGCAGAGTCAATAATACGTTTGACTGGAACCCTTGTAAATTGCTAGGAGAGTCATATTAGTGAGGAAAATGTCACCGTTCCCTGATGAACAAGTTAAATACCTTTTTTTTTTTCTTCTCTTTGAACAAGTTATGTTTAAAACTTGCTGTTGTTGTTGACTTAAAACGGAAACATAACTGTGCAAAGGAGAGAATGATAAAAGAAATAAGCACAGAAGCTGAAGGATTTTGGTTTGAAGGTTTGGGTTTTTTTTAATTTAGATATGACACACTTCTAAAAAAAATGGTTTGTTGAAATTCTGTGTTCAACTACAGCTACACTTTTAGAGTCTGCCTTGCTGTTATATGACTTTCTGTGACGAGGTATTCAGGTACTGTGTTGATCTTTTGGTTTCATACTTCCTTACGTTCTTTTTGCTGCTTCCTCCTTTAGGCTGTCCAAGTGCTCTAGTTTCACCTCCTTGTACCTCAGGATGCCCCTGCAGTTTTTCCACTTTGTCTCATGTGACGGGTTCTTTGTGCTGTTTCCTCCTCTGGTAGTCTCCCATTTGATCTTTATACGAGAGGGTCTGTGTATATTCCCATTCACCTGTTTACCTCTGCTTCCCTCTTCTTACTTCCTCAGCCTGTATCTCCTTCTTCCTGTAAAAGATTGTATATCCAATAGTAAAATTTATTTGGAGGAACAGAAGATCTCAGGAGAGGAAGTACTGTTGTTTTGGATGGTTTTCATTGGATGTATCAGCTGGTTCTTTGGTATGTAGATAACTGCAGAAGTGGTTAAAGTGGCTGACTTTCCTAAGCAGATGTCATAGCATCCATGCATTCTCTATTTCTACATCAACATTTATTTATTTTCCAACAAAAACGGTAGGGGATTTGCTACTGAACACAAGAATATTTCCCGAAACTTTGAAATGGACCAGAGCAACTGTCTAAATCATACTGCATTCAAGCAGAACAGAAAATGTTACTGAGTTGAACATGACCTATCAGAGCTTAATAACTTGTTTTTTTTGTTTTCTTTCTTCCAGAACGTTCCACCTTTTATCGGTGACATCCTGCGAATTGGCAGCAGAATAGAAAACGTGAGTTTCTCCAGTTGTTGTTAATAGGAATGCTGCTTTATGTGTGAATACAAATAAAATATTTGTATGAATATCGAAAATTTTAAAATGCTTGTGTAAATAAATTGAGTCTATAGTTTCTGGAATATGTAGCGTGTAGGACTGGAATTGCCAGTCATTGCAGCTCTGAGCCACAAAACAGAACCTGTGTGTGTGACAGGAATATCTCCTGTGTAAGAAGACCAAAATGAGTGAGAAATCTGGGGGTAGTTCACATGCTGAACTAAGTATAGTATACTCATATATACTATATATAGTATAGTATATTCATATATACTATATATTGTATAGTGTATAGTATATTCATACTATACTAATGTATAAATTGAAATCAGGGAGGTTTAGATTAGATATCAGGAAGAAATTCTTCACAGAGAGGGTGGTGAGGCAGTGGAACAGGTTGCCCAGAGAAGCTGTGGATGCCCCATCCCTGGCTGTCTTCAAGGCCAGGCTGGATGTGGCTTTGAGCAACCTGGTCTAGTGGAAGGTGTCCCTGCCCATGGCAGGGGGGTTGGAACTAGATGATCTTTAAGGTCCCTTCCAACCCTAACCATTCTATGATTCTATGATTCTAAGTGGTAACTCTTGGAGTTTGCTCCTGCAGTGTGGTAGGTGGGTTTAGGCTGTGCAGCTGGTGCCCAGGTCAGCCCTCCTGTATCAGCGAGATGTGCCACTTGTTGAAGGCTTATTCATTTGAGATGTCTCACTGCACTTTCAGCCTTGAAGGTTTCTAGATTCTCTCCCATAAGCACACAGTCCTGTGTCTGTGGTGCAACTTGCTTTGTTCTCTCTTTCTGTGCTGGTGTTGGGGCATGATGCTACAAGTCTAGGTATGGGAAAAAAGGCAAACATGTTATAAGTGAAGGCAGGAAGTTATTGTTGGTATAACTGAGATCTTCCAGAATTATTTATTGCAGAAGAGGAAGGAAAACGAAGAAATTAACACAGCTAAACAGAAAAACTCTTTAATGATAATACAGCTAAAATTGTAATATACATTCTTCCCACTATCTGACCCTTTTCCAGGTCTTGTGCTTAGGATCCTAAAATGAATGGCTTCTGTCTGGTGTCTCTGTGTGTGGGGTGTTGAGTATAGTCATCACTACCTGGAGTTTTGTGCTGCAAGGACTGCTGTTGATGTTTTCTTCCTCATTCTGGATTCTACTTAGGTTCATTTTTAATGTTTGCTAATGCACTTTTATAACTGCTCTTTGTTTTCATTGGTCTGCAGTTTCAAGTTACACATGATTTTACTATCTATAGTATGTTAGAAACTGCTTTTGCCCAGTTTTGTCCAGCTCTAATTTTTTTAACTTGGCCATTTTTTTTATAGCCATTGGTTTTCCAGTGTCAGCTTGTGCTCCATCTCCTACTATCCTGTGCCTGTACTCCTCTCAACCGCTTTGTCTCCAGCCCATGCTCTGTCATATTTGTCTTCTGTTTCTCTAAACTGTGTTATGTTAGTTACAGCAGCATTAAGTACTTGTTACTACTGTCTGTATGAAAGCTATCGATGTACCATACAAAAGTAAACCAAATTAGTCAGAGCCATCTGCTCAGAAATAAAATTGCTTTCTGAACAGAGCTCTAAACATGCTCTAAAACAGAGCTCTGAGCAGGTCACAGCAAGCTCAGCATAAGCCTGACAGTTTACAACCCTGTGGTTTTGCAAACTGTACAAAGCTTGTGGCCTGTTAACTGGCGACGGCAGTGCTGTGTGATGCAGCTACAGGGCGACAGGTAGGGATAAGCTTGGTCACTGAAATGATGCAAAAATGTTTCTCTTCAGAGGCAGGTTAGGAGGAGATCTTTTATGAGATTCTCAGAGTGGTACTGCCTCAGTCTGAAGGACTGTGAATGGCTGCGGAAGGGTGTCGTTTGGAAACCTGCTGCTTCATCTTCGTTACCAGGTTCAGTGTAAAGCAGAACCATACCTGTTACATTTTCAGCTTGTAAACATTGGCCTGAACACCCTTACTTTCCCTGTGTTGGTCATTTTTTCCCTACTTTCTTATTTCTGCTGCCTGCTGTAGGTTAACTGCAGAAGTTAAAATAAAAACGTTCAAGTTAAAAGACAGTGTCATTGGTGATAGTAGCAGCAGGAGAAGTGTAATAGGTGCAACTGTATGTTACTGGTGGATAACCTTGTTCCCATATTTTTAGTGATACTTGTCGTAGTCATGTGTGGTTTTTTAATTATTTTTTAAAATCTGTAGGCTCAGATAATGTGGGAGTATCCCAGGTGACAGACATTATTTATTCAATCTCTCTCCTTCAGATAAAGCTTTGTAGCTTAAACAATTGAATTTGAATGGAAGTCATGATTTACGGAATTAAGTCTCAGTCCTGGCCTGCGTGTCTAAGGGCCTGGAGAATGTTGCTGCTTCTAATCAGGCTTGTCCCTTCACACTGAAGCAATTTTGTGTGTGGTCATCAAAAAGAACTTTCTAGATCAATTTTACAATTTGAGTCGCTCCCCGGCCTCCAGGGGGAATGAAAAAATGACTGCATTTTGTGAATATGCTTGATTATGCTGTGCTTGAGTTCTCCAGATACTTATATTTGTGAGCTGTTTTCTGTTTCAAAGGCTAACAAATCATGAACAAGTGCATAGTGCAAGTGGTACGGTAGTGTGGTTTGTTGTACTCTCATGGAATACTTCTGCTGTATTGCCAGCGAGCTGTTGGTTTGTGGGGTGTTTGTTTTTGTTGTAAGACTTTGCTTTGTATAAAATTAAAGTTACCTTTTTTTTTTTCCTTTATTTTCCTTTTCATTTGAAATAGGGTGTCTTTGATGTTGGGGATGCACTTGATTGGGTCAGGTACACGGGTGATGTCGGTATTCTGCAGCGGCTGGAGAAACTTGGTGATTTTGGTTGGATCTATCTTGAGATTTTCTTTGTTGAATGTAAGTATGAACACTCCTGAAGAAACAATGGTGAGGAAAGTCACCTGTCTTGCAGTTATGAGATAGTTAATGTTTGCATGTATTACATTACTCTGGGAGTGACTGGGAAATAGTGGTGTGGGTTTTTTTCTTGGTGGTTGGTGTTTTTTTTTTTCCTTATTTGAACCAGTCAATACTTCCTTGAATCTCTGAGTGTGGGTTATATTTACAGTCACCTGCTCTGACTGAATGGGCGTTCAGAATGTTTTTTTACCCATTATGAGCTGTATATGCGCTTTGTATCCCTTTAACTTAGCGTTAGGTTGAAAGTTGCCCAAAATATTTTTTAGGTCTTTCCGCTAAATGTTAGGCAGAGGATTTTGTCAAAATACTGAGATGTTAGTCATGTTTCAAAAATTAGCGTACGTAGCTCATGGGAATTACCATAAGATATTAACACCAGCAGCAGAACTTGTGCTGAGATGACAAAAACCTCCCAGGCCTGCTGTTTTTGATGTGTGTCGAGTGGCTTGCATTCTGGTCTCTTTGCGTTTGCGCGTTCTAACTCAGTTGTTGCAGTAAGTAACAGGGTGGTGGAAATTGAACTTGCGTGTAAAGAGAAGAATCTTCTTACAGCTAAGTACAAAAATACAAATTCTTTAAAATACAAATCTCTACAATGCAAATTCTTTAAAAAAAACAGTGGAGTTTCACTTGGTTGCTTGAACTTAGGCAAGTGCTTAAATGTTTTGCAGACTGCAGGCAGTTAGTTTGGGCTTACCCAATAATAAGTAACTCCTTTTGAATGTTCCTGTTGCATAACTTGTTTGTTATTTAGTTGATATGTCAAATTTTGCTTCCAGTCAGAAAACAGAGCTTGATTCTTAGCAGCAGCAGATGAATCCTGCTTCTTGTCTTTTGGTAACTTCTTCACCCACTGTATTTTTCTGAATTTTCTCTGCAGGCAAGCGTTATATTACCAAAGTTGCTTTGGAAGATTGTAATTTAGTTGAAGAATTTAAAGGTGTGACCTGTGAGAACTGTAGGAAGGTGAGAGAAGATGTGTTTGTGCTTTTGTTTCTTGTTGTTATTTTGTTTATTTTTTAAAATGTTCAAAGATTATAAACATGACCAAATGATCAAAGGTAAAGGTTTCAAAAGCTTGAGTGAGTAATTGTCCTGACATAAATAGTTACCTCCAGAGATCCTAGCCTGCTTTAACAGAACATTAGTTGTTTGTTGCCAGTGTGTATTGAAGAGTGTTCCTCTTCTCACCCCCTGAAAAAACCCTCAAGGACATGTATTTAATATTGATGGAATATTGTTCAACTTGATCCTTTTCACACAGACATAAGATGCTCTCATTCTTTGCCATGTGTTTCTTTAGTGTAGATCTTTGGGGTGTTTTTTCTGTTGAAGACTGGTTAATTCCTGTGTCTTCCTTGCCACAGTTCTGTAGTTCAGGAGCTACGTTGAAAGGCGCAGAGTAGGGAGCGGGTTGAGCTGTGCTGTGTGCGGCATACTTTGCTGTTTGACACATGATCGCTTTCAATGACTGTATTATGGAACCCACAAGACCGTCTGAGTTAGCCCTGCTTTTTATTTATTGCTCACTGTATTCTTGTCTACGTAACACTTTTATTTGTACTCTTTTAAGCTTATTAATTACAGTGAATGAAAGTATTAAATTATAACTAATAGTGCATATGTAAGATTCTGTTTTTACAAGCATAAAAACTTAGCTGTCTCTTGTCAAGTGTTTTCTTCTCATTGCAACGGAGTTTAATTACAGTGGTTGCCAAATTGTTTTTCCCTGATTTCACAGAGCAGCGAATCTATGAAACAGAAAGGAAATGAGGAATTTTCCCAAGGAAACTTTGATCATGCTATAATGTCATATACTAAAGCCATAGAGTTTTGGTAAGAACGAAACTGGTTTACAAGATTGTGTTATATCACATGCATTCAGCTTATTCAGATTTATCCTGATTTTGTACAGTTTTGTCTGAGCTACTTAGAGGGATATGATACCTAATAAAAAAAAAAAAGGTACATAACTCATTTCTTGTTACTAGTGGTTTGCACTTTCACTGCCCGAAAAGTTCTGTTAGGGTTTAATTTCTTCCCAAATGTCATGTGCTGAAAGCCTTTGGAGACTCCCCTGGGCCCTGTAATGGGGAAGAAAGACAGAGGTTAAATGAGAATTCGTCCTCTGCATATTTCCCTCCTTCCTGTCATCTGCACATAATGTGAACCTAGGTACAGAACGCCTGTTTGGTGTCATTGCTGCTGTGTTGTAGTCATCCAGATGCTGCTTTTACAAGTTCTGGTGTCTATGAAATATGGTAAAATTCAGAAAGTCCCACCTTTCATAAGAAATTAATTCTGCAAACTGTGCTTTACAATTGTGCAATTGAAAGGATCAGCTTTTTGCTGATGTGTTGCTTGAGATCTTATGTCACATAGAAGGATATGTTTCAATCCCAAATTCACGCTGATTTCAGCCTCCTTGAAAAGTTGGGTAGGCTGACTTCAGTCAAGTGACTGAGATGATGGAGCAGGCTAAGGCAGCTTTGCTTAGGGTAACTGATGCGTGAGAGGAACGAGCAGAATTTGGAGAAAGAGCAAAGGCAATGCCATGCCTTGGAAAGGGCAAAGGAAATCTCATGGTTTCCAGGGGCGGTAGAGCTGAGGTGTTGTTACAGCTGTTTGTTAGAAATTGTTCTTTGTCCTTAAGACCCTGCTGGAAGGTGAAGGATAGCTTGGTGATGTCTAGCAGCTAGGGAATCCTCCTCCATCCGCTCTGTGCGTGGCCTTCCCCTTCTCATTGCCCCAGCGTGAGCTGACTTTCATCTGCTTCATCATCACACTCCTACCTTAACTAGCTGTATCTTACCTTGGTTTCCTATCGAGGGGTTGCTGGATAACATATTCTGTTTCCCCCTCTCATTCTCCATTGGGTACGCTGGGAGCAATGTGTTAGCTCTTTAGAACTGCTGCGTAGTCTGCCCAGTCAGGCAGAGGGTTATGAAATAGTTATAGACCCAGAAGTGCTCATGAGATGTTTGATTTACTGAAGCCTTCAAAGTTAGGAATTTCCAAACAAAATCAAATGAGATGTATGTGACAGTCGGGCTAGCTTTTCCATGCTTCATGCCTTGCTTTTGTACCATTTGAGGCGTGCTTTGATATGTTGGTCAGAGCTTACTGAGTTGGGGAAGGAGTTTAAATCTGTCTGTCTGGGTTGGGGTTTTTTTTTATTTGTTTAAGTAGGCTGAGAGAAATTTGTATTGGTAGGAAGTTGCATTAGTGGGCCCAAATCTTAGAAATTATTACATAATTAATATTCTCGGTGACTTAACTGAGACTAATGGAACTATTCAAGGAAGCTTGTATATAATTGTATGTGCTAGTGTGCTTGCAGACAATTTTTGTGAAAACTTAGGGTTTTTTCTTAAGGTTTTCAAAAGTAATACACATTGCTAACTTCTATTTATTTTTTTTATTTAAGTCCTGCAAATCATCTTCTGTATGGAAACAGAGCTCTTTGTTTTATTCTCACAAGGCAGTACAAGTAAGTAACCCCTTGTTTATAATCTAAAATGTTGTCATCTCTTGCAGTTAAAAATTGGCAGTATGCTTAGGAAAATAGTATTTTAAAAACAAGTATAAAGTAATTGTGATGTTACTACCTCACAAAACTGATATTAAGAAAAACAAATAATATTAGCTGTATCTGCTGGCAGTATGTAATACCATTTAAAATTGGTGTGTTGGGGGGGTTATACAACAGGGGAAAAAAAAAAGTGAGTACTGTGATTTTTATTACACCTTTTGAAGAAGAGATCAGTGTAGGTATGGGGGTTATTAAACCTTATTGTTTATGAGCAAGGTGGATATATACCTTTTATGTAAAGCCGACCCAAGCTTTTACTGTTGGTATAATTGAAGCCTTAAGGGTAATATTGTTATTAGTCCAGAACTAATTGTTTAAATAAAAAGCAATAGCAGTTTAATTGAAATTGGTACCCACGTGATTCTTAGTTACTGCCTGTTTTCCTGGTGTTACGCTCACCCCTCCACTTCTTCTGGGAACTGAAGTTGGCAGTTTCATTGCCGTAGCAGTGGGGTTAGAGAGCTGTCAGCATGCGGGGCCCTTCTCTGGGAGGAAAGTGATGTTCACACTGATGGTTTCTTCTTCCTCACTCTGGGATCCGCTTTGGATCAGTTTTTGTGTTTGCTAACGTGCTAGTACACCTTTGCTCTGTCTTTGTTTGTCTGCAGCACACTGTTAGATCTGCGTTTACTATACCTGGTACTTTTTATGGTTATTTCTCTTTGTTACTCTCAAAATCTATTTTTGTCCAGAGTTGACATGTCTTTGACTGTTGGTGAATTGTTTATAGCCATGGGGTCTCGAGTGCTAAGCTTGCGCCCCATCTTTTGTCATCTCATACCTGAACTCATTTATGTTGCATCCTGTGTATCCACTTCTACTGTCACATCAGGCTTGTATCTCTTTAGATGACATCATCATTTTGGAGTCCTAAATAACACATTCTGTGCAAATAGCAGTAACAGGCAGTTATTCCATCTAAATCTATGGTTGTACCACACCAAGATAAACAAAAGTAGAACAAATTAGCCATGGAAACCTGGCCAGTTAGAGAAACTGCTGTCACAGTTAAACTGAGTAAAAGAAAGCTGCAGGCAGGTCAAGCTGCCTGCATGAGTGAGAAGCCTCAGCCCTGAGGCTTTGCAAACTCATTACAGAGCTTGTGGCCTGCAAATGGCAGTGGCAGTACTGTATTATGGGACTACACAGTTATATAGTGCTCTCCAGATCATCTACTGGAGGTTGGTGGCTTTATCCAAGGCGTCTGTTTTCAGAGCCTGTGAGAAGCAGTGGTCACGTTCCCTCCCAGGCTTCCATGCAGGACAGGGCCTTTCAGGGCAGCTTGGCCTTGTGTCCTGACGTTTTGAGGGTGCGCAGGGGCAACTTTCCTGGCACTGCACCAGGCTGTCGAAAGGTGGCACTGGAGGAAGGACTGGGTGGGTGAAAACAAAGCCCGTACTAGAGAACGAATCAAGTGCTTCAGTTTTTATAATCTTTCAAACTGCTTTTATAACATCTTAGTATCTTGAGATTCTGTACTCCACTATCTATGTATTACTCAAGCATTTTTTCCTTGTGTTTGCTTCGTTTGCAATATGAATATGGTGCAGTTTCTCCCATTCTAATCACTAGTTCTGTGATAGGCTTTTTTATTGCTATTTTTTTTAATGTGTTGCCACATCTCTAAATTCTGCCGTTACTATCGGAGTTTCTCTAATTTGGAAGTTGTTTTTTTTTTTTTGTTCTAACTTTCTTTAATTTCATTGAATTAATTCTTCCTGATATCTCTGAAGAATTTTGTGCTGTAAAGCATACTCCTTGTCTGAAATTACTGTCTCTTTCAGGCTTTTATTTAGTATCCAGCTTCTGTTACCACAGAGCATCTCATTCTCCTCCTGATTGCTGTGTACAAGCTTTCCTGCTGTAATGGTCACAAAGTACAGTGGTAGTGAATAGTCAATTTATGAACACTTTTATGGGAAACAAGATTTGCCCCCCCCCCCCCCCTTTGTTTGTGGAGGTAAAATAGTGCCTCATAGGCCTTTGCAGGCCTCTCTAGTTAGGTGTCGCTGCGGACATTTTCTGAAGGCCTTACTGAGTCAGCATGACCCACCTGTCGAAGGAGTGAGTTACTTGTAAGCTGCTCCATTTGAAGTAATCCGTAGCTGGCTGGTCGTTGTTGTAATTTGCTACATCCTGCTTATCTGACACACAGCTGTAGTTGAGTGAAGAACGAGTGGTATATCCCACAGGTATAAAAACTCTGAAACTGCCCCCTTTGGGCAGTGTTGGTTTCAGCAGAGGCCGTCACCGCTGCTCTGTGTTCTCTCATGTAGCTGTAGTGTTAGCCTGCTTCTCTTCTGACCTGACCAAAATTACATTTCTGGTTATTGCATGATATCATGTAGGTAAGAAGTGAGAGTTGGGCATGCTCGTCAGGCTTCAGTTGCTGGGAATTTTGGAGGTTACTGCCTTTCAGTGCTCAGCAGTTAATACCTGTACCCTCAAATCTCTAGCTATGATTATGTAACTATTCTCTAATATGATTTCTGTCAAAATATTAGGTTTGTTATTCAGGGTCTCTTATTAAGGCTTTGCTTTTTAAAGGAACATTTTGCTAGAACCCAGTTAAGGGGTAAGTACATACATAGTAATGCTGGAAAATCTAGTAGGTAGGGGAAGGGGATAAATATCTGATGGGTGAGATAGTTGAGACTGTCACATTTTACCCAGGTAAGTTTCAGCTAAGAAGTGTTATCTGACCATGCCTTTACACAGGTGAATGAACTCTTCTTATACTCACTCTGTATTTTTGTGTCATGTACATCTGATCTGTAGATTTTTCTGAAGTGTAAATAATAAATACCTCTTCTTTTTCCCTCCCTTCTCTAAGGAGAGCCCTTGCTGATGGAAAAAGAGCCACTATTTTGAAGCCTAATTGGCCAAAGGTTAGTTTTATATACTTTTCAAAATTGTCTTCCAACGTAAGAATCCAAAGTCTTAATTACAGGTGTGACTCAGGAAGATGTGACGTGTTCTCATCTGCCTTTAGCACTGATGACAGTAGATTGAAAAAAATACCTTGTAGACTAAGAATTCTGCTTCAGTCAGTCAAGTACATAGTTTGGTCATTTTTTTTTTAATATAAAATAATTATTTTTACATGCTTGTAAGTGTTGTTACATGGTGTTCTGCAAGTGTTAAAGATGGAAGGAAAAGTTTATTACATTGATGTGCATAGCTGTGTTATCACAGTGCTTTAAAAAGAGTATAGGTAGTTCTTTCAGTAACAAATCCCGATTAATGACCAACATGTATTTCCCAATATTCTTGGCCTAAAGAGGAGTAAATAAGGGATAGTTACAAAATTGCAAAGTAGTAGTTAAGCTTAGGGGGAAAAAGCAAATTTGTTCTTGTCAAAGACAGAGGCTAAATGCTACTCCCACTGGATTATGTTTTGATTTCAGTGTGCTGAGTAGTTGAAAACTTTGATTATTCATCCTTTGACCTGAAACAGATGGAGTAGATAACTTTTTTGAGTATGTAAAGTTTTACGTTGTATTGTCTACTGCATGTGTTTTGGGTAGAAATTGTTTCCTTATTTATGTGAATGAGTGCTTGAAATGCGAACTTATGTCCATGTAGGGCCACTACCATTTCTGTAAGGCGCTGTCATTGCTAGGGGAACACGAACTGGCTTTGGAAGCTAATGAGAGAGCTCAGCAACTATGCAAGAATATTCTTGATGGACTTAAGGATCTTATTCAACAAAATGAGAAGTTAAAGAAAACATTAGAAAAAATCCATGGTAAGCTTTTCTGATTTCAAGATCTACCTTGAACTAAATTCATTTGTAACTTTTCTTTAAAATGAGCTAATTACTTCTTTTTCCACCCTCCCCTTCCTATATAATTTTCTACAGGTATTAAACAACATAAACAGAAACCAAAGAAGTCACTTCTTGAGAAAAAGTAAGCATCAAGTTTGCTTGTTTTTTAAATTAGCAATGTTTAGTATAAGATTTAAGTAACATAAAACATAGATATTGTTTATTCCATCCATTTTTATTTACTGATAGATAACAAAATTTAAACTTATCAGAACTGCAACCAGAGTGCAGTGTAGGAGTAAAGAGGACTTCTAGGAACTGAAGGAGCTGTCTTGAGATGTGTTCTACTTCCAAGCAGTGTCATTCAGCATTAATTTTACCCATGCTGGAAACAACAGGAAACAATTACATTTTCATGGCTTATTTTTCCTCCCAACTTGAAGTACTTCACTGTTGAGGAAATTTGAAATCTGTGATGCAATCACACCCACTTTTTTGTGTTAACTTTGCTATATAAAGTTTGCTAGGAGATGCAGTTGATTTGAGGAGCTGAATGTTAGCAATGCATTTTGGCAGTGGTAAAAATGAATGTGTATCCTAATTTCCAGGAACTTGTTTTTGTCACGTCTATTCTGTGCTTTTTGCCTTGTCCAGAGTGTGTCAGAGATTCCACATTCACAGATTCAGCTAAGTTACAATAGATGCCATAAATTTTGTATTGAACATTTTTCTGAAAGATCTTAGAGTTGTATTGATCTGCTTGTAGTGATGTGCTAACTGTCATTCAAAACCAGTACAGTAAGTAAACTACTCACAACAGCTCTCTGTAAACATGAAAACTCTGAAGAACTTAAATTTGTTTCTCTTCTATATTGCACAAATAAAATGTGGCCTTGGGCAAGATTGGGTTTTTTATAAAATTATTACCATTATTTTTTTTAAAGTGCAATAATTGAGTTCCTGTCCCTTTTATAGAAAACTGCTTTTTTTGTTGTTGTGTTTTTGCTTAGCCTTGGACTGTGCAATTTGAAAGTACAAAAAACAGCTGTTTGATCAAATCCTTTAAATACGCTTATGCTGTCACACTTCAGTGAGGGGCAGACTTCTTGTATTCGTCTTTGGGTTTTTCCATGGTACATGTATGGTACGTGTCTTAAATATGGAGAAAAGACATCACGATTGGTAGAACTAGGGTTCTCTCTTTCTCCATATCAGGGACTGCAGTTCGTCAGAATCTCATTTAATACACTCTCAAGAACAAACAGAAAAAGACAGAAAGAGAAAACAGTCTGATCCTGAAGATCATCATTGTCACCAAAACCATGATACCAGGGTAAGTTATGCTACAGCTGGAATTACGAAACTAACACTGTGGTGACTTTCATCATCCTGGAATGTGTTATTTCATGGTGTGGCTAAAATTTTGCAGTGACTGTTTTAATAATTGTGTACTTTCTCAGCCAAGTGTACTTTTCCTGTAATATTTAACTACTAAATCTGTGTTCAGCAGTTTGGATCTGAAAGGAGGTGGGTGGTGGTTGCTTAATGAGAATGTGGTGGCTCTATGTCATGAGGAGGAGAGGAGTCTCTTCTGGATTATTGAAAGTGAGACTGCGGTCAGGTCTGATTTAGGCCATCTAGTCCTGCCTGTCAATCTGCATTCAGATGTGGGCTTCCCTTTGGCTTTAGGAGAGGACTCGGTTAATGATTACTGGTGTAACGGAGTTCAGTGGAAGAAGCTTTAGCCGAAGGTAATTCATATACAGGGCTTTTGCTCTACTGGGCCGTTGTTTTGCACTGATGTTGTGATGCTAAAGGATTTGCATGGCTACAGACTGTATTTTCATGCTCTGTAAACGGATTTCTTTTGGGAAAAACATTGGTTAAAATAGTATGCTTAACTGGATGGTATTTAAAGCTAGGGGTTTGAGGTTTTCAAACATCTGTTTGGATTGTGTGTTTAAAACAAGTGAGTATAGTGCTAAAGTACAAGATGGACTTGTGTTATCTTAGTAGCTCTTTAATTCTGAGGATTGAGTCTTTCGGTTTAGAAAACAGCTTAAAAGCACAAATATTCTACTAGATTACTTTGAACAACTTTTTTGGTGAGGAAGGCTCAAAAGAGTAAGTGGAGCTGTCGTGGGAAAAATCTAGACAGCTTAAAGAACTGCTTAAGGTAGCAGCAGAAGGGGTGTTATTGAAGTAAGGTGTTGTGTAAGTGAGGCCTAACAAAATCTGATGGCAAGATTCAATCTATTACTCTACTGCACAGAGGATACACTAATGATTTAAAGATACCAATACAAGATCTTAATGCTCTATGTTACAAGGTTATGTGTGATATCGGTCAGTTACCAAAGATTTGTGGTTAGTAAGGGGTCTCTCAACCTCAAGGAGTAGCCTTGAGAGGTGTCTGAACTCGAGGGGAGATCAGCACCATGCTGCTAGCTATTCAGGAGGGAGAGCTCAAAAAAAGCTCACCTAGGCTGCCATATTTGTGGAATACTGTCATTGGCTCATAGTCAAATTACATGCAATGGAAAAGGTAAGCATGAGACTCCTTGTACCCACAACTTCCTCTGTTCCTTGACCAAATTAGTTTTGGAAGAACGGTCTGCTATTTGTGTGCTAATTGCATGATTGTTGTTCCAGTTTCTGAGCTCATATACATCAAAGCTTACCGTGTCACCCTGTCCCCGTGTGGGTTTTCAGAGAACAGGTTGGAACTAGAGAAGTTCACGGCCTGGTCATGGCCTAGGCTTTCACCTCCTTTGAAGCCTGAACCAAGCTACCACTGATTTGGTCAAAGCATCGAGTGCATCCATCACAGAAGCTAATAGAGTAAACTTTGTTCTCTCTGTTCATGGTTGATTTTTTTTTTTTTGTTGTTCCTGAAAAATAATTAAGGATACGTGCTAGTTAAGGATGACCAAAGAAATTCATCAACAAAAGCCTCTAATTCTGCCTTTTAGAAGGTTATTTAACTGTTGAGAAGTACCTTGGTAGGCAGCTCAGCCCCAGCAGCTGCTTGCTTACTCCCCTCAGCAGGGTGAGGAGAAAATCATAAAAGTGAGAAAACTCATGGACTGAGATAAAGGTAGTTTAATAGGTAAAGCAAAACCTGTGCACAGAAGCAAACCAAAATAAAGAATTCATTCATTGCTTCCAGGCAGATGTTTAACCATTTCCAGGACAGCATTGTGCATAATGGTTACTTGGGAAGACAGATGGCATAACTCAGAACTTTCCTCCCCTTTTTTTCTTCTTCCCCCAGCTCTATATGCTGAGCATGATGTCATTGGGGTCAGCTGTCCCAGCTGTGTCCCCTCCCAAATTCTCGTGCACCCCCAGCTACTCGCTGGTGGGGTGGGGTCAGAGGCAGAAAAGCCTTGACTTTGTGCAAACACTGCTCAGCTGTAACGAGAACATCCAAAACATGGCACCGTATGAGCTGCTGTGAGGAAAATTAACTTTATCCCAGCCAAAACATACTTTTGTATTTCTTAAAAAAAAAAAAACCAAACCAAACAAAACACACACACAGAAAATCGGAAGCTGGGGAATTTTGTTGGTGGGTACCTTGTTTAGGTGGGCTTCACTAGTGGATGTCAGTGGAATTTCCCAGCTGTTGCTGTCTTAGTGGCTATCTCATGTCCAGTATGACGGGGAGCCTGTAAACCATTCCTGTGCATGAATTTTCTGGAGTGGTTTGGTTTGCTAGACATACACAGACTGTGACAGTAGAAAATTGGAAGCTGGGGAATTTTGTTGGTGGGTACCTTGTTTAGGTGGGCTTCACTAGTGGATGTCAGTGGAATTTCCCAGCTGTTGCTGTCTTAGTGGCTATCTCATGTCCAGTATGACGGGGAGCCTGTAAACCATTCCTGTGCATGAATTTTCTGGAGTGGTTTGGTTTGCTAGACATACACAGACTGTGACAGTCCTGCTGTGACAACATGGAATTAAAAATTTAATAGTCAACCTCCAGTTTGTTTACAGGCAGTTCTTCCACACTAATTATTAATTTAAAAGAAACATTTGTACCTCTTTCTGATCATCTTTACCTTCATTATTGTAACCTAATGAATAATTTCTGTTATAGTTTGGCCTGTAAAGTGTCTTATAAAGATGCGGTATAATACAGAAAATAAGAATAAATAATGTGACTGCTGGCAAGTTCAAAACAGTTTAACCATGCACATGTGAAAAAAGGCTTTCAGCTTTCACAGGGGGGTGGGGCATCAAAAAAGATGACTCGTTGGCGGGGAAAATGAAACCTGTGTGCCAAGGGCAAAGGGGAGGAAGTGAAACTTGGATTGCTTTCTTTTTCAACAAGTTCTACAGAGCACTGAAGCGGCACTCGGAAGATTTTAGCTGTCTTTTATGAAAGCTTTCATCTGCTTTTTATCTTAGGTGAAAATCTTCGTAATGTAGGTCTGTGCAAATGTATCTTCATTGAGGATGAATATAACTGAAATAAGTCTAGTACTTGTCAGACTAGTTGATAATATAAGTTGATAGGAATTTGGGGGGGAAGTGTAAGTGGACAGATACACTTTGATTAATGAAATTATTTTTCTTTATCTCTTGGGGACATAACATACTGTTATCACTGTGTTTTCTTTTGCTTAAATTCTAGTGGTTTAGTTTTTTCTTTAAATTTAGTGAGTAGTATCTATTTGTTTTTTGTTATCTTTGTAAAACTAACATATTTGTCACTAGGTGACTGACATCCAAAGAACAGAAATCAAAGATTGGTCTCTGGAGTTTCCACAAAGTGAGTTCTTTTTTGCTATTTATCCAGTCTAAGTTGGTTCTTCCTTTGCTGTTGCTGTTTATTCATAAGCAGAAGTCTGTCTAGTGTTGTTTTCCCAACAGTAAGCTATCATGTTTCACTTCTTTTCCTGTTAGCATGCAGTTACTTAGATACTTCTTCTATTCTGTATTTCTGTCTTTCTTTGTGCTTTAGTAGTTTGAATTGACTTTACGTGGATGAATTCAGAATTGAAACTGGAACTAAAGAGTAGAGTGCTGAGTCACAAGCTAGAAATGCTTTCTCTGAGGCAGGTACAGGATCAAAAAGTACCTAGATTTGAGAAGTGTGGGGGTAGTTTCAATATTCATAATGCATTTGCGATTACTAAAAGCGCCATGTAGATCCTTCAGAAAATAATCCTGCAGTTAGAGAGGAAGGAGGCCACAGAACACTTGTCAGAGTGGATCTTTAGCTACCAACTTTGAGCGTTATACCTCTTATAGGTATATGACCTGAGTCACCTTGGCAGCTAGTGTGATTTATTGTTCATGGTTGGGGTTTTTTAATTAATTAAAAAAAAAGAAAAAGCCCACACAACCCTTCTATAGGGAGAATTCTGACAGTGCCAGAGTTACTTTTCTGTCTTGCTTAGTTTATTAATTGCCTGTTAAATGTGCTGTAACCAAGAAAGCCTAAGATATTGCCCTGATACTCACAAATTGTTCTTATTTGTAATGTTTGTGTGGAATGCTGCTGCTGGATCCGGCCCAGCTGCATGCTCACCCTCTTTTCTGAAGCTGTGACCTCCAAAGCAGTGTGTCATTCTAGTCCTTCTAGTCCTGGCCATGCAACACCTGGAATCCTTGGTGCCAAGCTGTACTGTTCTTTGGGCGTTGCATACTTAAATGCTTAGCTGAATGGGTGCCAGAGAGCAGAGCACTTCAAAATTTCATTTTTAGGAAGCCAGTGAAGATATATTACAAAATACTATTTTGAAATGAGCAGTAGCGGAAGTGATGTTAGCTTGTGGACTTCGGGCATATGCGAGCATCTTGAATGATTAAAGGATCTATTGGGAGATGGGAAATATGGGAAAGGTTGTGAAGACAGAGTCAAAACAAATGTTTTGAAAAGATGTTAAGTGGTAGGATAATAAAAACCCAAACTGTAAAGTGTTATAGGAACTTACTGCAGAAAGCGTAAGTCAGGGAAAGGTTTTAGAAAGAGGAAGTCGAGGTCTGGAAGATGAATCCATTTCAAGGGACTATATGAGGATGATGTGAAGGGGCGAAAGAAGAAATGCATGGAGGCCATAGGGAATTTTGAGTGAGTTTGAAGCAAGTGACAACTAAGTGATTCCAGGCATTTTTGTGAGTGGGACGATGTGGTCCAAAGAGTAACGTTCAGCAACTACGTGCCCACGCGTTGACACACCCCATCGCCGGTAGCAAGCACAGGTTGACGAGTGATGCCCTGGCTCCAGCAGACTGCAGGGATGCTTGGTGTCCAGGTCACCTGGCAGCAAGACCAGCCTGTGCGAATGCCTTCTGAAAGCGGGGGAGAGTTGCGCTGCCCCGTGGCTCCACCAGCTGTAGTGGGATTTGAGAGCGTTGTACTTGACATGGGTAATGCAGGCAGCGTCCTGCCGCCCGTGTTGGGCAGGGTGTTGGCAGTCTGTCTGCGCTGCCGATACTGGTCAAGGGCAGGGTGTCTGTGGTCTGTCTGCGCTGCTGATATTGGTGAAGGGGCAGGGAATCGGAGGATAACGGAGTTTTAGAGAGGTTGTGGAGGAAAGAGGGATAGTGAAAGGCTGAATGTTGGAAGAGAACTAAAAATTCTTCTAGGATAAAGAGATCACAGGACTATGAAATGTTGCATTGAATGTAGTAATTACAAAAAAATGCATTGTGATTTCATGGGTTTTTTTCCTGTTCTTCCTCCTCTCCCCCTCATTATGTCACTACCGATGTAGAACAAAATATTTGATTTGGCTGTGATTTGAAAGGAGGAGTTAAGCTCTGAATGACTAGCTGATACAAGTTTACTGTGGGTGGGGAAGAATAGCTTTCTTTTTCTTATAGCCTTTGTTCAGTTAAAGGCTTAAAGACTTGCAGGAAACTTAATGTAAAGGAACTTTATGCCACTGTATCTTATCTTAAAGTTACTGTCCTCTTTAATTTCATTTTTTGTCTGCATGTGCTATTTTTTTGAGCATGTGTACATTTCTGTTAAATGTCTTTGTTTGCTCTTAATGGGAATGTCTAGCAAAAGTGATAGTACTTCTACTAATATTTTAAAATGTTTGCGGGGTAAGTGAATCATGCTTGTTGTTGAATTAATATATCACCTTAAGTATTTTAACTATAATTCAGCAGAAAAAAAATAAAAGTAAGTTTTGAAAATCTGAAGGTAGTATCTTAAGTTGGGTGGTGTGTGGGAGTAGTAGTTTTTGTAGGAAATTTTTCTGATATTTTTGTTGAATGGCCTTTAGAATTCGATCATTCAGTGGAAAAATAGCACTGATTAATTATTTCTTTTGATGGTGAGAGGGAAGGCTTGTGTTCTTTTGTCTTCATTAAGATTTTGTTTTGAATGATGGATTGGTTCCTTAAGGGAAAGGAACCTCTGCAATGAGGAAAAGGTAGTATCTCTCTAAATCATTAAATTACGATATGCTTGAAGTGTTGTCTGGCTTTCAAAAAGGTTGTTTTCCATCATTTAAACGCTTCTCTGATGAGGAATTTTTGATAATTATTAGTGTAGCTTTGGAGTTTTTAATGCGTATGAAGATTCCACAGATGCCTATTTAGACTCCTGTGTGACACTTGGAAGAAATGGTTCATGAACCAATTCTGAACAGGTTCATTCTTCATGATGCTTGATTTTTGTTCTGATTCCTTTAGATTTTATGTCATTAAGTAGTTTTTATTGAATAACTACTTGTGGCACAAGGCATGAAGTGCATATATTTATGTTTTAAATGGAGAAATGAGTACAAGACATCTGACTGGCTCGAGTGGGTAGATGCGTATTTTTCCACAGTGGGGGTCTTTAAGTATTTTGTGCCTAATCATGTAAAATACTTCTGTGAGTATCATGAAATAAACATTTTTAAGCACTGATAGCTACTGAAACTTTATATATTAAAACATTAATAACTTTTTTTCCGAATTTGATCTTAGGATAGTTAAGCATAAGTGTAATAATAAATCAAGCAATATTGGATTGCTTAGGTAGCTGTACCTTATATTTGGATTCCAGTGCTTGAATAGCTGGAATACAGGTGCTGGACTGCATGTTGTCTGTGTGATTGTGTCCAGTACCAGGAAATTACAGCTGTCTCCGAAACTACTTCTGAAAGATTATAGTTGGAACTGCCCCCTCTTGGAACAGGTCGTTGAAGCAGAAGGTGGTGTTCCTGTATGCCTTGTGAAATCCATTAGGTTTAACTAGCAAAAAAAATCTGCCACTCTGCACCCCTTCAACTTAACCATCTGTAATAAGGAAGACCTGCAACATGTCATGCTGCTCAGCAGTTCTGCACCTGAATCTGTCAGTTGCTTGTTGGTTCCTTACCAGGGCAAAAATAGAATTTTTTGCCTTGCTTGTCTAATAGTCCAGTTTCTGGAAGGCAGCTCTGCTGTAAGTGGATTTTGTCACTGTTGAGTCATTAACTCCTTTAAAATTCTAACTTAAAATTCTTGAAAAATAAAAACTTCGTGACTTAACCACAAGTATGCATGTGCACATTCAGGTGCCTTATGTTATGTTTTAACTCCACAGAAACGGTTGAGTGGTTATTTTGCAGTTAATGGCATGGCTTCCTGGTTTTGACCAATTACAATGAAGTATTAAACCATGTTTTCTTCATGAATTGTTTACTCACCTTGTAGCGCCACGTAACTAATCAACAACGGTGTTAATCTCTGAAGTTATAAAATCTGTTAGTAAAGTTTTGTGTCATGTCTCTGACATTTCAGAGTTAGAAATGAGTCGGTATCATGTTGTAGATCTTGTCTTGTCTTTGTGATCTAGTATTTCCACATCATCAAACATTTTTATTTTGTAATCAGGGACATCTATCTTGGTCCAACTCATATGTTTACATTTCTAAGATTAACAAGCGTTGAACTTCACTCCTTTAGCAATGTATTTTTGAAGTAGCATACTTTGTAAAATTTCTGTAGTTAATTTGAACATCCACAGTGATCTATTATTCCCTTTAAAAATTCTAGTTATCAACTAATAGTGAATAATATCAGTTGTGGGTTTTGTATAGCATACTGATTTCATTAACTTGCAATCCACTTTAATAGTTGGTACAATATTTTAGAGTCAGATTGTATCTTACAGAATTTTAAGGTTCTGTTTATTTCAAGTATATTTTTCCCATTTATAGGATTAATAAAATCCTATAACATTAACAAAACCAACTTCAAATTCATGCTGTAACACTGAGGTGCCTATTTGAAAAATTTCTCAATTACGTTGATTTTCGATATTGTATATGTTTAAGATCTGTTATTTACAAAGCAAAATGCGAGTTCCAAGCACTTTTTTTTTTTTTTTCCTTAGTTTTAGGTGATAGTCACTTTGTTTGAAATACTTTTTCTCATTACAGGCCAAAGTCACCAAAACAAAGGGAGGCCAGAAACCAAACCCGGTGACTCTAAAAAGACGAGGTAGGAAATTTTATTTATTTTTAAATTTATTACTATTTTGAGTTCTTTTCTGTAGCACTTAAAAAGGAGTTAATGCAATTTTGACTTGCTGCTTGCTCTTTGCTCATTGCTTTGTTTACATTCTTTACATACTCTTCAGGATATAGTTCATGTTAAGATAGCTGATTAAAGATCACAAAATTTCACTTTTGACAAATAGCCTGAGGTATTACATGAAAACAAAATATTTTCCAAAGCTCAGTTGAATTTTAGTAGATGAAGGCATAATTTTAATAACCACTGTTTAAAAACTGTGGCCCAGAACTGTAGCCATAACAAAGAATGACCTTTTCAGCAAAAGATAATAGGAATCTTGTTCCACTTGTTACATTCAAACTTAAACCACAACGTAACTCAAACTCTGTCTTACTTTCAAGGACTCCTTTGCACTAGCTCTACTCTTTGTACTAAATAATTTTTAAAGCTTCTCTGACACTTCTTATGTTTACTATGAAGAAGAGGTTTGGCTGCGAGGAGAGCACTGTATGTCAGTCTCAGAACTGAATGCTAGGAAAAAACTTTGACTCCTTCAGTTGTCTGTAGACTTGAAAGTTCACTTAAAGTATATAGATGTCTAATTTTTAGTCCATGAATACTCCCCATACAACATGCTGAATGTAAATGAGTATGTTTAATCGTTTGGGGCCAAAATTAAATCAGTTGAGATAAAAAGCACTGTAGATTTCATGGGCAAAATTTATGCTTCCATCAGTTAAAACATTTAAACCAAAGTTCAACTGAAGAAATGTCATACAGGGGCCAATGTCCTCCTAGCAGGTTTGGGAAAATTTCTGCCCATATAGGTGATTCCATATGCCGATGTATTTCCTCATCTATTAGATGGTTAAGGAGTAAAAAACTGTTACTGCTGACTTATTTGTAAGGTGACTGATGCAAAAGGTGACTTACAAGTAGTAAGGCCACACGGAAATGGAGGTTTTCAGCGTTTTAACCTGAGCTGCGTCGTCAGACAAATTAATCTCAGAGTATACTTTCTTGCTTGTCTGCCACTTCAGTTAGGGGTTTTCGGTTGTCTTTAGGATGATTAAAACCAGCTGAGGGGTACAGCAAAATAAGCTGTTTACACGGAAACAGGTAAGTTTCCAGTAAGTGGTAATTTTCAAAGGCAGATTTCTCATGTAGAAGAATCGAAGCCTTGAGGAAACCTGGGAGCTGAACCTCATTATCCCCAGGCCTAATCTGAGTGTGACCACAAAACCTACCATTTTTTAATCTGTATTTATTACAGTACAGTCCTTTTGTTCATCCATAATTCTCTTAGAATACCACTGTAGCTAGGATAATTGAAATTTTGTCACAGGACAGGTAATTTATGTTATTTAACTGATTCACTGCCACTGATTTCTTTCTGCTTTCACTTTAAGGGTGGTGTGTGGGGGGAAAACACTGGAATTCACTGTGGGAACAAATCCTCTTTAAAGTAACTGGGCCATCTACAAACCTGATTCTCTCACGCAGAAGCTTATTAGCGTGGGTTTTATCGGTCTGTTTCTCAACAAGTGAAATGCATGGTCAGTTACAATCTTATCACCATTTCTGTAATTAACAGGTTGCTTGGCTTCCAAAAATCCAGGGCATCCTCTGGCACTGTAAAGTATTATCTCCGATGATGAGCTTTTGATGCCTTCGCATGTGGGACTGTATAACTCAATGTATATTAGCAAAAGGTGGTGTAGTAGCATTAAGGATTGAGTACCAATCTTAACACCGAGGATTTAGTTTAGAGTATCATACAGTGCTTTGCCTCTTCATGATGCTTTCTCCATTCTCTAGTTGTGCATGGCGTGTTTCTGCTGCAGTACTGGAAGGGAAGAGCCGGGAAGAACAACTTGATTCCTCTCTTCTCAGCTCTGCCTCCACCATGCGGAGCTGCTGCATTTGTTTGATTTTAAGCAGGGGTTGTGCTAGGATAAAGGATGTTAATAGGTAGGGAGAGCAGAGAACGGGAAAGAGGCCTAAGCACATTTTACTGCTGCCTTTAGTATAGGGAAGTTCTGTAGTCACCTGTCTCACCCTTTCATAAGATCAACTCAGCTGAGAATAAGGTGAAGAAGATAAAACAAAATGATGGAGAAGAGTGCTACTCTCCTGAAGCCCTGGTGATTCCTGACCCAGAATTATATGAACTATACAAACAGCCTCACAGTCCTTGATAGCATTACAGTATTTGTTACTGCAGTTGTGAAAGGTGCTATAATAATCTCTAGCACTTAGGCAAACGTGATGTGGCTGATAAAAGCGCAGAAATTTGTTTCTTGAAAACAAGATTATATATGAAGTACCTGTACAAACTCATGATGCCATTGTCCTGTTATTTGCAGAGATCACCTTGATCTGAAGATAGAAACTAAAGCCATCCAAGATAAACTCTTCTGTACTGTGCAACAGGTAACTGGGAGTTCATAAACGTATGACCTTAAGCATAAGTGACTTGTCACCTTTCAGTAACACTGTCCAAAATCTCAGTTCGTTCAAAATCTTAATGTTTCATGCTTAGCCTTACTTTTACCAAGAGACAAAGATGATGTGATTACAGTGATTTATACTGTCTTGTGGTCAAGTTTTTGCTTCTCCTCCTTCCCCTCCTGTAAGACCTAACACTGGAAATTAGTGTAAAGAAACTCAGTGTAGTCATAGAATAAGTTAGCTAAAACCAGGAGTTAGTGATGTAGCTCCCTTGTATCTTAATTTGTAAGGAAAACTACAAAAATTGCCAGGAATCATTCAAGAGTTTATAATACCCTTCCCAAAGTTCTGACAAAATATGTTTTCCTGTGTTTGATACATACATTTGGAAATAATCATAGAACATTGTGTTGAACAGCTGTTTAAAACTCCATAAAATTAATACGTTGAGAATTCTCCTCGGGTCTTGCCAGCAATGGATGATGAGTATTCCAAAGTTGCTGAATTAAATCATTGGGACACACATAATTAATCATTTCTTCTTTGTTAATTTTGGGAAGTACATACCAGAAATATCTGTTCTGATTAATTACCTCCTAAGACAAAGCTGGATTTGGGAGAAGGTGCAGGCTCTACCTTATTTCCTTTAAAATACCTTTTTTTTTTTTTTTTTGGTAAGGCTAATGCATTACTAGTATCAAAAGTATAAATTTTCGTTGGCTTAATCAGCTCTGTATAACATGTAGGCTAACATTAAAGAAAGATTTTTTTTTTTCTATTCTGTAACTATATGCTTCGACAGCATAACCTGTAGTTCTAAGAAATGAAAAGAAGTCTGAAAAGAAGTCTTAATCTTTAAGTTAACTCAATTCTGCTTTTTTTTTTTTCTGTATCTGCTTGTAGTTTCCATTGCCCCTGCCATTTTTGTTTATAACTGTCATTAGATCATGGGTGTCATCTTATGTTTCTGTGTTTTGGTCAGTTGACAGGATCAAGACAAAATAAGATCGAAATTCAGAGATGCTTAGGAAAACACATTCTGGACATGCATTCAATATAGTATGTCAAAAGCCTAATTCAGTTCACAGGAATACATTTAGGTACACCATTAAGGTGATGTTAAAAAAAATTGGGCAACTCAAAAGTTCTGTTCCATTCTTCCCAAGCCTTCCCATTCTTTCAGTTTTTCCCTGCCCACGACCCTGTTTTCAGAATCCCAGTCTCAAATGTTAACATACGGGAGCGGGGAGAAAGGGGGCAGTTAATGAAAGCCTTGTAAAGCAGGATTACTTCATCCTGAAGATGAATTCACACTGGAATGAGGTAGTGGCCTAAAATACACAGGTGGGCCTCCTTGTTACTGTTTGGTTTTTGCTTACGATTGCAGGAGGAGGTGTTGAAGGAGCTTCATAAATAGCAAAATTACTTCTACGCTGGCACAAGGATTTGCTTCCCAAAGCTGATTTTATTTTAGTGTTTCAACAGATGGAGGGTTCCTAAGTCTTTCACTGCTTGTCTTGATTTACAGTCTCTCTGCTGGAAATCCCCGCAGACTTCAGGAAATATCTCTAGTGAAAAGCAAATAACAATGCATTCTGAAACCTCCTAGCATTAACTATTAACCTAGATGAAGAGAAAGTGTAGGCAGAAGGAAATAGTTCTCAGCTTTTTCAAGAACATTTGTACACGAAACGGGAGTGTACAAGTTACAAAAAGCATAAGCCTGGGGGGTTTGGGGTATTTTTTTTAGTATATGTAACAAGGATTAAAGTGATCCTTGAACTAAACTTGAAACTTTCTGGAGGGAACAGGATCTAGACTCTAGAACAAAAACTAGATTTTAGAGAGATTAGTAGCAGTAGGTCCAGGAAAATCAGAAGTTTCTAGAAGTCGAACTTAAAACAGTTTTATAAAAATGTACCTGATCCACTGCTTTAAAAGTGGAACTGTGATAAAACTGTACGAAGTACTGAATTTTAACCGTTGTCTTTTGGATAGGTATTTGAGCAAACTGCTTGTTTGCTTTAAAAAAACCCCAAACTAACAAAAAAAGACAGCTGTTTTCTTTTGGACTTACTCTTTTTCTAAATATTTTAGGTGGATTTAACCATGTTGCCAGAAGAGGTTAAATCCCTTGTTCATTACGGTTATACAGCCTTGATGGACCAGCGGTGTCACAGTGCTGAACAAGCCTTTGCACAGTTGTTGAGCATTCTAAATCCTTCAGGATTAAAGGTAAACAGAGGAGAACAACTTAGCTATTAGGGTAATTGAGGCTTGTGCTTTCGATACTGTGTTTCATTCCTTCCTTCTACCAAAATAATCATTATTATTGAATTGTTGCCTGTGATGTTGACTGCAGTGCCAGGTGTTTCACTGATAGGTCTGCCAAGGAGCTTACAAATGAGAAAAATTGAGAACAGGGTAAAAAAGTCCTTAGTAGCATAGGATGTATTTTTGTAGTGTTCAGCATACATGCCAATTTCTAGATGCAGTCTAAAAACTACGTACCAGTATAGTATCACAAGATAAGAATATCTTATTCTTCTTAAGTATCTTATTTGATAAGAAACTAATGCCCATTGTCAGCTTAACCTTTATTCATCATAATGTAGGGTGAAAAGAATTCATATTCTTCAGGTCAGATAGCTCACTGATGGGAAATAATAGTGTGGAATTTTGTGTCTGTTTATCTAGCCAATCAGCCATTGAACCATTTGTCATTCTAGATTTCTTTCAATTATTGTACTGCAGTACTGAGTTTCGCTTGACGGTGTGTGTGCACATGCGCCCCTGTGTTTCAAGCTCCCATTTTAATAAGGGCTGTGGCAGTGGTGACAAGAGGTCTCTCCAAGCAAGTAATGCAGTGATCCATCTGGAATTGTGACCTAGTTTATGAGGAAGAAAAAGGTTCAGAAAGGGTGGTGATTGGGTTTTTTGGTTTGTGTGTGGGCTTCTTTTTTGTTTTGTTTGTTTGATTTGTTTTTTTTAAATTTAAAAAAAAAAAACCCTGCTCAATTCTGAACATGAAATATAGCAAAGACGCACTGCACTGCATGAAGTTAACGTAGTAAAGCCTGTAGTTACAGCATTTGTAAAGCATATTTTTCAGGATGTATCACTTTGAAATCTGTAACCGCTTTGAAATGACCAGCAGTAAAGGTGTAGTTAACCTTCAATATTTATGCTAATTGTAGCATAAATCTGGATAGAGGCTATGATAAGAAGGATGGTAAAAGAGTTTTGTACGTCTGTTGTAGTTAATATCTTCAGTTCACAGTAGAGACTAATGTTCTGGTTACTGACAAAGTGTTTCTGTCTGTGCTACTACTATAATGTGACTCTATTTGCAGCAACTGAACCTGCATATTATTAATTATGTTGTAATCATCTATGGACATGCCACTGCTCTTCTTGGAATAGGACAGCCTGAGGTATGACATTAAGCCACTGTATTGCTTTTATTCAAAATTCTGCTTCAGGTAGTGGGTCATCCATTTTTCTCTTAACAGACATTAAATGAGTGGGGAAGGAAAGCTTTTCTGACATTTGAGAAAATCATATGGTTTAATACCTGGGATGAGGTCTTTAATGGTTTTGGATAAATTAAGCAACCAAATAAAATTTCTTTTGAAGCTTTCAGATGAGATTTTTACATAGTTGATTGTACTTGATTAATACTTCTCTTCCTCTTTGTCATAATGTTACGACACTAGTTCACTAATTCACTAGTTTTTCTAACACAACCATTCTGCCTCAAACACAAGAGAAAGAGAATGCTTTTGGCTCTGGAAAGCGCCAAAACAGAAGTCTGGGTTGTCTGTGGTTTAGGGGGGTGGTGTCTTTCCCCCCCTCTACCCCCCCAGTGTTTAAATGTATTCAGTGTATTAGAATGAACTTAAAAGTGTCTGGGTGTTTGTAGCTCACTGAGCTACAATCATTTAATTTCATTATTTCAGAGGGAGCCTGTGTTTACAGAATAAGTTTCCTTTTTTAGAAAAAAAGGCATTTAGGAAAAAAGGGAGGTCTTTGTGTGTGATCACAGAGTTGCTTAATTCCCTTTACTGTTCATAAGAATAGGGCATTCTGACCCACTCTACTGCAGCAAAAGAAGGAGAGGAAAAGTGAAAAGTTTCTGGCAAAGTGTTACATATTTTTGTCTTAACTTTACTTTGAAGGCATTGGCAAAGGCTGAAGACCAGTTTAAGAAAATAATCGAGCAGTACCAGGAGGAAAGATTTGGTTGCTTGGCATACTATGGAATTGGAAAAGTATACCTCCGACAGAACAGGTTGGTCTAAACCAGAGCTTCGCTGTTTGATGCAAAAAATACTTTCATTTGAGAAACTTCTTTGTTATTCTTTGTTAATCACCAAATTCATACATCAGACTGATCTGTTAGGACTTAAAGTTTGTTACTGCGAAGGATGCAGTGGAAGCCTGTGAGTCGAGCAGATTCCAGGGCATGGGGATATGACCGACCAGCACACCCCTGCAGTGGAGGAGAGCTCACAGGAGAAGGGCCAAACCCGATGATCTCAGGGGAAAAACGTATTGTGAAGAAAGCTTAGCTTATCTCCACACCAGGGAGGCTGGAAGGTAACCTTGGTTTTAGATAAGGCAGCTGCACCAGTGAGTCACCGGGTTCCCTGAGACAGACAGAGTAATGTCCTCCTGAGCTAGCCAGGCCAGCGTGGGGAGAGGGGAGGAGTGTGTACGTGGCTCAGCCGAACGCGGAGTGCAGAAACTGGACAACTAATAAACAAGAGCAAAGGGCTTGAGGCTGGCTTCCACCCACGTATTCCTGGTGGTGTTTCTTCCCAGAGCCCTGGCGGTAAGCATATGGAGACTGGTAATGGGCATCACATTTGGGTTGATTCGACGGTGCGTTGCAGCCGCTGTATTATGCTTGCGCTGTGATTTCACTGTATCACTGTATTGCTCTACTTCACTGAAATCACCCACAAAGCCTGTAGTGGGGTGACCTTGGCTGGCTGCCAGACCTTAACCCAGCTGTACCCCCACTACCCCTCCTCAGTGGGAGAGGGGGAGAAAATAAGATGCAAAAGCCCAGGGATTGAGATAGAGGCAGGAAGATCACTTGCAGACTACAGTCACTGGCAAATTAGATTCAACCTGAGAAAAAATAATTGAATTTATTGCTTGTTTAAATAGAGTTGGGTGGTGGGGAGAAAAAAAAAATAAGTAAAATCACCTTCTCCTTACCCTGCCTTTAGCCCAGACTCGACTTCACTCCCTCATTCCTGACTCCTCTACCTCCTCCTCCCCCAAGCACCCAGTGGGATGGCGAGTGGGGGTTGTGGTCAGTTGGTAACATCTCCGCTACTGCACCTTCCTCCACCCACTCCTCCCCTTCTGCAGCATGGGGCCTCTCCACAGGCTGCAGTTCCTTGGGGCATGTTCTGGCAGGGGTCCTCCACAGCCACAGTGTGAATACCTGCGGGGTCCTCTCCAGGGGCTGCAGGGGGATTTCCGCTCCATACCTGGAGTGCCTCCTTACCTTGGTGCTTGGAGGGCTGTTTCTCACGTCTTTACCCTTGATCCTCACTGCCATGCAGTGTGTTTTGTCCTTTTGTAGCCATGCTTTCCCTGAGTGTTGTGGCTTAACCTTGGCTAGCAACTAAGCACCACACAGCCAAAGGGGTTCAGCTGCACCCTATGGTGGGTTCACTGGAGCCAACTGGAACTGGGGCAGCCCCAGCCTCTCCTCACAGAAGCTGTCCTTGCAGCTCTGGTCCCCACCCACCCCAACCTGGCCATGTAAACCCAGTACAATGCCAGATAAATAAGTTTGGTATTACACATTAAACCCTCCTCGTGTGGAATATCTGAAAGTACCTGGGCAGAGTGTGTTGGATCCTGAGAGGAGTTGCCTCCATCCCACTGCTGCAGCATACCTAGGTGCAGTCTGAGACCCAGGAGGTATCTGTGTCCCAGTCTCACAGATGTGACTGCTGTTTCCCTTGGCAGTTTTGACCCATAGTGCGGCAACATGTGTGTCCCAGAGGGGTTTGTGCACACAAATGCACACGCACGCAACAACACAGCTGGCCACCCAGCCTGCTCCAGGCAGAGCAGCTCCCATGTATAGCACTACCCGAAGTTATGTAAAATATCAGTACGGGTGCTAGGGTCCTGTGCTGCCTCCTCCCTGGCTGACAGGGTTGAAGGTCACTCGTGAACACACGTGTGTCCTCACTGTCTGTGTTGACGAGCACACCCACGTTCGTCGTGTCTCTGCAGACGCTCGGTCTGCCTCCTATCTCTGCTTGGCCCCTTGCCCCGGCTGGCTTACTGACTCACACCTCAAGGCTCTCATACCGAAGGGTCCTTAAACAGATAATGAACAAGATGCTCTTTCGTTCCTATTAACATTTTTGTTTTTCCTTGGGTCATAAAATGAATGTGAAGGTATTACAGGTCACACAAGTTATTTGTATGTGATCAGAACATGTTGTACCTGTTTCGAACTTCAGATTTTCAGATGCGCTTGATCAGTTCATGAAATCACAAACAATGGTCAATCACAGAATTGTACCTGGAGTATTAACTTGGCCCACAACATCTCAGGTCATTGAAGAGACACGAACAGAGAATTTACAGGTATGGTTTTTTTGAAAAAAAAAAAAATAAGTCTTAGGTTTCACTGTCTAGAGTGTTGTCAGCTGCAAGGCCTGGTCTTTGTAGAGCATCTCTTCTTGTGATGCCAAATTTGAACACCTGGGAAGCATCTCATTTACAGCACAAGGGTGGGGGCTCTGGATCAGGCTCTGCACTTGGGTATTTCTGTGTAATAATATGGTTCTGATCTGCTCCAAGTGTTTCATGGTGTGTTAACTTCTTAGTTCATAGAATCACAGAACAGTTTGGGTTGGAAGGGACCTTAAAGGTCATCTAGTTCCAACCCCCCTGCCATGGGCAGGGATACCTTCCACTAGACCAGGTTGCTCAAAGCCTCATCCAGCCTGGCCTTGAACACTTCCAGGGATGGAGCATCCACAGCTTCTCTGGGCAACCTGTTCCAGTGCCTCACCACCCTCTCCATGAAGAACTTCTTCCTGATATTTAAAGAGAACTAGTTAAAAACTTGAATTAGCAAAACTGTGAAGTTGAAAATTGCAGCGGTGGTGCTATATTTAAAACCAAATAGGAGAGTTTGACCATATCATTCTTGATCAGTGCAGTAGGAGCTGTATGGTAAAATTCCTCGTTTGACTTGAAAAATATAATTTGTGGTTCTGACACTACAAATTTCCTTCTAATGCTGAATAGTGTCTGGGGTTTTTTTGTTTGTTCGGGTTTTTTTTAATTATCATTACTGTTAGTGTTGTTAAGCTATAATTGAGTCACTGTTACTTGTGAAGAGTTTGTGGATAAACCCTGAGAGCCATGAGAGTGAAGTCCCATGAGCCGCTCTGCGCAAAGGCAGTTTGACACAGTGGAACGTGATAGGTTATTCGGTGTATGAACTTGGCTGTCCTACACTGACCTATTTGGTTTATGGCAGAAGCAGCAGCACTGTGGTTTCCTAAACAAAAACTGACCTAAAGGTTTCTCACAGACTCTCAGGTGACACCTCAGTAGTCTGGCCACAGTCACACATCGGTGGTCTGGGACTTCTGGAGAGTGTAATGCAAATATCTGAAGGGCTGTCATTGGTAGTCTGTTTGTTTCTAATAAAGTTTAGTAATTTGGGCTGAATGCCAACCCTGTGGGATTTGAACTGACTACGTAAAAGCCCCTGTAAGGTCTTTATTTCCGACGCTGTTCTGGGACCTCTCACTAGAGCCGGGTCTAAGCAGCCCCTGGGAATGTACCTGATGGTGTAACCCCAAACACAGGTGAGGCCCTCCTCAAAGAGTGGAAATGAGCAGACATTATTCACCACGTTATCTGAGTAATCTGGCTTCTCGTTTTATATTCTCATGTGTTTGGAATTGGTCAGCATGTGTAACGTTCATTGGTCCCAGATAAACCTGCCTGCAGGGGAGCTGTGACTACTTAGCTGATGGCCATTCAAACGAGCTTTTGAATATTTTGCCATAAAAGGACAACCTTTCATAGCTTTCACTGGGAAAGGGTTGTTCTTTTGGTGTTGGCCATCTGCTGTTCAGAGATGTGCGTTTCGCTGCAGAGTTCCCTAGAAGTTTGTAAGTACATACTGAATCTTCTCCTGGTTTCTGCATAATTTATCTTAATACCATTTTGTGTTTCTCAGTTGATCTTAAAGAATTGCATTGAGGAATGCAAGTTCCCTCCAGAACCAGATGCAATTTGTCGGTATCGACAATGCCATGGCCACTCCAAAGTCCAAATATTTTTTACAGACCCAGACTTTAAGGTAAATGTTACGTTTAAAAGGGTTTGGGAAATACAGCTTAATTGTTACATGTTTTCTGCTCCCGTTCATATTAAAGAAGTGTCAGGAACACACCATCTGACCTTATCTACTGTTAAGTTGTGCACTGTTTTATGGGTTTGTCTGATTGTTTTTTTTAAGATGCTACATTCATACTTTTTCCTCAATATTAGGGTTTTATACGTATTACTTGCTGTCAGCAATGTAGAGTGGAGTTTCATATCAGCTGTTGGAAAAAGTTGAAAATAGCTACCTACAGTGATAAAAACGATAAGGTAAGAGCAGCATCAGACTGTAAACACTTGATTTTGTTCAGGTTTTTTAGTCAGGGTCATAGCATTCCTTTGGTTTGTGACAAGAGCGGTGCTACAGCTTGATGGTCCCCCCGCATGACAGTGGCAGGAGAGTCAGGAAAGAGCAGTCTCTATCTGAATTGTCTGACATGCAGGTGTGGGTGAAGCTTGCTGCTGCTCTGCAGAAGAAAGGCCTGTCTGTGTAAGGCTCGGGATGCTTAGCCGGTTTGTCTTGCATCATTTATGTCATAGAATCATAGAATGGTTAGGGTTGGAAGGGACCTTAAAGACCATCTAGTTCCAACCCCCCTGCCATGGGCAGGGACACCTTCCGCTAGACCAGGTTGCTCAAAGCCACATCCAGCCTGGCCTTGAAGACATCCAGGGATGGGGCATCCACAGCTTCTCTGCGCAACCTGTTCCAGTGCCTCACCACCCTCTCTGTGAAGAATTTCTTCCTGATATCTAATCTAAACCTCCCTGATTTCCATCTGTACCCATTACCCCTTGTCCTATCACTACAGGCTCTTGTAAAAAGTCCTCTCCCAGTACCCTTGTAGGCCCCCTTCAGATACTGGAAAGCTGCAATGAGGTCTCCTCGGAGCCTCCTCTTCTCCAGGCTGAACAAGCCCAATTCTTGCAGCCTTTCGTCATAGCAGAGGTGCTCCAGCCCTCTGATCATCTTCGTGGCCTCCTCTGGACTCACTCCACGTCCTTCCATATGGAAGTTTTATTCCTTCTGTAGTTTTGCTGTTGAAGTGACAGTTCAACGTTGCGTATGTCTAAAGGAGCTTTACAAAATACAGTATCAGCAGCCAGTATTAAATGAAGGGAAATCCAGGCAGAGTATGAACTCCTAAAAGAGTATGTTTGAAGTTGACTCTTGAACCTGAAGTTGGAGGAAGAGGGGCTTTGCTACAGCTTTGGGAGTAACAGGTATATATGCCACAGATCTAGGATCCTTTTGATTTTCAGTCCTTGTCAAGTCAGCTGTCACTTGCTTTCCTCATCCAGTAAGAGTTCAGGGCTGTGATAGCTTTAATTACCTTGGTCACCTCACATTAAGAAACTGGTCTGTGTAAGAACATAGATTTTTGTCTTAATTTAGATGCCTTGTGTTGTGTGTATCATTTTCTCTTACAGGATTTTCTTCAAGAACTGTGTTTCACTCCTGATTGTACGGGCCTTATTTCAAAAATAGTTATTTTCAGTTCTTCTGGTCTGGTGAAATGTGAAGTAAGTAAATGTTCATATAAAATAATCTTTTAAAATATTTACTCTGGTAAAAGAGATAAAGTGAAGACGAGAATGTAACTGCAAACTCATAAGTAATATGCTATCTTAACTACAGAATCGGAGGATTATTTAGGAATATTAATTACCTGTACTCTTCGTACCTGTTCTTCTGGTGGAGCAGGCATTACCTTATAGAATGATGGGAACTGGAGCTTTGTTTTATATTTAGCTTGAAAGGAACTGTTAAACTCAGACCTAATCTCGCTAAATGAAATAATTGTATTGGAAGAGTGCTCTTGCCATCTGCAGAGTCACAGGAAGATAGGTACTTCTTCCCAGAATAGTATTGGTCTGTGAGGAGCACAAACTAAGCAACTGTAAAGTTTGCTTCCTGCCCACTGGCAAAGCAAACCAGCCTCCAGTTCGTGTTACCTTCCAACCTGCGGATAAAGATGTATTGCTGTATACCGAGCTGTAGCAGCAGAAGATAATTTTAGGTAGACCTTTGTGAGGCCTGTGTGAGCTGCACTGTCTCTCTTGTAGTGGTACTTTTTACTGCTTTCCAAAGCATCAATTGTCCCTGGGTTTTGAGGACAGCAGTGTTGCATTGTAACCTGAATTTAATTAATGTGATATCACTTATTTTGGTAGTTTGAACAAAAAATCAGGAAAACCAAGGAACCACCAAGAGCCAGTATTAAACAGAAGTGTTCAAGGTAAGCTCTCTACTGTTTGAAACGAAGTAGCATCAATTTGAGAACAAAACAGATTCCTCTAGGATTGGTGTTCATGCCTTTTTAAGAATCGCTAAGTTACCACAAATACTTTGGAAAGCTATTCTTTTGCCTCTGATAACCTAAAAAGCCTGGTAAAATATGTTATGATCCAATTATAAAAACATTTAAATTTACTTGTAAAAGCAGATACAGAGCTACACATTTATGACATGAGCACAGGAGAGCATTTAACTGGTATTGCTGAGTAAATGGTTGGTAGCTCTATAGCGGTCATACAGTTCTTTAAAAACAACTTTTTCAGCAGGAAAAAAAACAGGAAACTGTTTCAAATACACAGCTGTGAGCTGGTGCAAACCTGCTTTTCTACGCCTCTCTCTTGTCGGATAAATTGTCCGTTGCACTGTTGACTTCCCGGCAATGTCAAGTTGTTGTTTCTTAATATAAATTTCTACAGTCATCTTTAAGTCTTTATACCTGAAACCTGATTTCATGAGGTCTGTCAGCAGGGAAGTAATGTGTGGTTTGAGTAAAGTGTGATTTGGAGGCTGTGTGTACAACTTGAGGACTGTTTCTTTACGTTTGCTGTCCGTACATGTCTTTCATTTGTGCTAAGACACTTAACAATTGGAATGCTAAAAGAATGGGTGTCCGATATTATTCTTCATGGAATTCTCAATGGAGCTCTTCCACTGCATGTACAATTAAGACATTAAGAAGTCGAGTGTATGTAGATCAGAATACCACCTCTGTTCTCAATCTGAGATTGCAAGCATTGCTCTGTTCCTTCCCCTTACAAGATTTTTAGGTGGATGGGAGAGGTATCGCTGTACGGCAGAAGTTCAACACCACTGTTACACAGCTTTTACTGCCTGACCAACTTTGTGTGCATGTTCAGAAAGTGTAAAAACAAAGCTGCACAATATGATGCTATTTCAGTTGTTGGTGCATGTACCTTTGGCATGACTGAGTTTACGCTTCTTGGTCAAATAAAGTTATAAATAATGAAGAAATAAAATTGATTTTTAAAAGTTAAGGAAAGCCACATGTTAATATACTGTTCAAAATGTAGAGTTATAACTTAAGAAAAAAAATGATACTATTTCAGTTAATCCTAATTGAGACATCATTTTATGGGAGTAAAGACGACTGCATCTTGAGGATATTCTTATACTTACATGCTTGATTTTTATCAAAATTTTATGAAATGTTATGGTCTCAACTTCTAAATGAAAACCATTTGTATTAGATTTATACTTTTCAGCAGAATATTTTATAGTAGAATGAAGCTTATAGCTACTGAAGACATGAGAAAAAACTTAGATGTGCTTAACTCCTTTGACAACTTAAGCAGTGAGCCTAATGTTAGTCAATTGCTTTTTTTCAGTCTTAGGAAGTTAAAAATGAAACAAGAAAAAAAATTACGGAGAAAAAGACATGAAAAAAAACTTAAATGTGTGCCTAACTCCTTTGACAACTTAAGCAGTGAGCCTAATGTTAGTCAATTGCTTTTTTTCAGTCTTAGGAAGTTAAAAATGAAACAAGAAAAAAAATTACGGAGAAAGCATGCACGAGGAGAGGCACAAATTTCTGCTAAAAAGGCAGTAGAAGAAAACCAGATGGGAAATGAACCATTTCAATACAGTGATCACAGTGGTACGTGGGGATTTTGTGAGGAAATCTTTCAAAAGAACATCTAGTTCAATCTCAAGCTCTCTGGGAGGTTGAGAGGCCAGTTTCAGCAGAGAGCTAGATCACAAAGGGGTTTTCTGTTTTGTTTTATCAGCAGCCGTAGCTACCTTTTAAGTAAGAACTAATCTGCTTGTAAATGGGAGAGGGGTGCAGGTGAGAGGAGCGCTTGTTTGTACAGGAATTTGTAAGATACAGAGGTGTTTCATGCAGATTCCTGCGGGATAAACTCAGGCCTGGCTTACGCCTGTAGAGCTCGGTAGATCTGTTAGTGTGATTCGAACTGTCTGCGTTACAGTGCTCGATTATTCTGGGTGTAATACCTAGTGCTTTTCTTTGTTAAAAAAAATCATTTCAGATGTACATCTTTTGGTCATGGTTGCTGTCAGTTAAGCTCTGAAAATGACATTCTATAAGTGTGTGAAAAACAATGAAAGGTGAAGGCTGAATCGAGTGAAGCCAGTAGCCTCTTTCACTCTTGTTTTACAAAGAACTGGTGTCAGGGTCAGGGCTTAGCTGTGCTCAGGCATTCAGAATCGTGCCTTTCCTCTGGGAATGATGCTTGGGGGAATTCTGTCTCTGCTTCGGCCGGCATGCAGCCCACAGCTAAATCTGTATAAACAGTTGCTTGAGGCTCCTATTACTGGCAGGTAATTTTTCTTTTCTTTCTGAAATCTAGTTAAGATACTAAGGATTATTTCTTTGCATAAACCAAATTGAGATCAGTGTTGTTAAATTCATAACGCTGGGGATAATTTATGTGGAAAGTTACCTATTCTGTAACTTTCAGTGTTGCGACAAAGCAAATAATTAAAAACACCCCTTAGTCCAAATTTATCCGTACTTCAAAGTTGATGTTTTTAATTGTGGTAAGCAGACATGACCTCTTTTGTTGGTTTTCTCTTTTTAAATTCCATTACAGGGTATGTTCAGGATTTATATGCTGGTGACAGAGTCCTGCAGCACATCCGTCGAAACGCCGAGCAGATAAAAACAGCCGTTCGCGATGCTTCCAAACTATTAAAGGAATTACTTTCATGGTTTGTAATCAGTGAGGAGGATTACACATCATATTGCAAAACCAGTAGCATGTCACATGAAGTGATGGAGCAGCTCATCAGTTACTTAATTCAGGAAAAAAACAGAGTAAAAACAAGGGGGTTTATCCACGTGCTGAGTGAACTGGAAGAGGTGGATCCCAAGTTACACAAATGGATGAAACATCTTAACAACTTAGGTAGGCTCTATGTTTCTGGCATAGCAGACGACCTTACCCTGCCATAATTGTTCAGTTTACAAAAGAAAAGATGACCTCCCCCTTTTCCAGTCGTGCTTTCTCAACTTTCAGTGGTAAAGCTCTCCTCTTTTAATTTACTTGATCCGTAGCCAGGTTTTCCAGAGAAGACAGCATAACCACAGGTAACACGGGAACAACCTCTCTTGTCTGCACGTCAAGCATTTTAATTGTGGGCAGGGCTTGGCCCGTGTAGGAAGGAGAGAGTTGAACAGATGGGTTTTTTTTTAATGTCTTTAACTTTCCAAATTGGCTTAAATGACATTTGTATAAATAATTTGGTTTTGGAAAGTGAATTGTGGTGGGGTTTTTGTCATAAAGGTTTAGCTGACTCTCACTTGGAAGTAATTTAATTTGGCACTCTCTGTGGTGTTGCTTTGCAGTGTAGTCTTCTACTGAATTTATAACTGGATGAAGATAGAAATTTGGTTTTGCAGGCAAAATGGACAACACTTGGGTTCTGAATTCTATTCTGTTGTGTCCATGTCCTTTAAGGAGTATATATACGTTATTTTTTTGAAATAATTTGGTGTTAAGAGTAAAACTTCTATAAATTCCATTTATCATTTTTGTTTGCATTTTCAAGATACGAAAGGTTTTACATAATCTCAGCTACTGTATATTTAATTTCTAGCACAAGCTTCCTCTTTGAAGACGAATATCGCTCTGTCAGCACTAAAACCCTGAAGCCAGACTGAAATGTTGGGTTTTCTTTCATCTCTTTTAGGTCTGACAGCTACGAAGAACTTTATTCTTCAATATGGGCAATTTTTAAAAGAGCTTGACCTTTCTATTTTAACCACGCTGTGGAATGAGAAGTATGGTAGTAAATTTGACTATGTGACAAGTAGTTCTGAAGACAAAGACATTTGTGATTATTTCTTAAAACCACCCCTAGAGAAAACCCGTTGTTTTATATGGCTGCTAGAAGACAACAGAGAAAACTTTCCGTTTCTTCATCAAGCTTTAGATGAATTCTTTGATAAAATGGGTAAGTATGCAAAGGTCATCGTTCTCACTTGTGTTGCGTTTTGTCTGTGTTTACACCACATTTGATGGGCTTTGTGAAAGGCTGAAACCTCAGCAAACTAGTGACCTTCTCGTTATGTGGGAACTTGTGTGTTTGGAGCTTACAAGGCAGCCACCCCTTTTTTAGGTTACATGCTGCTGGTTTGTTCCGTGGGACACAGCCAGCCCATGAGTTTATCTTTATGTGTATTTGATGCCCAACCAAAACAAATATTTATCTTTCAGTTTCATAGACTCATAGAATCATAGA